CGGTCGGTGCGATGCCATTTCAATCCTCGGTGTCGGGTCCACGTCGTTCAGCGTCGCCAGCTCATTCATCTGACACATCAACTCGACTTGAGGATCTTCCTCGTCGGATGTACGCACCAAAATGTCATCGTCGCTGGCCGAACCATCGCTGTCGACTTGACGACGTCCGGCACCACCTTTGGGAGCTCGCGGACCACCTCGGCGACCGAACGAACCCTCGTTGCCAGCGTAAACACGCTGCATACGGCTCTCAGAACGTGGCGTAACCATGTGCGAGTCTTGAAAGTACGGTGAAGCTTCGGTAGTGCCAAAGGCACCACGCTCAGCTTCACGCTTGGTCAGAGGAGTACGAACGAGTCGTTGGGGTGTCGGCGGCAGTGGAATCGTGGACGGATCTTCATCTTGAACAATCGCTCGACTCTCAGGCTGTTTTCCGGCGTTGATGCCAACAGCGCCAAACGCCTTCCGAAGCTTCTTCTTCCATTTCTAAAGAGCAGCTCCGGATTCATGTGGACTCCAATCTTGGAGCGACATCGTCGATGGGTACGTCTCGTTCTCGAAGCCCAGCGACAACAGTAGCGAAACCGAATCCTCGGCGACTTGGCTAGTCGAAACCGAGTTGACTGGGTATTGAAGTTCCTGCGCAAGCGCAGGCCAGTCGGCCTTTTTCTTGGGGATGGGCTTGAACAGCTGCATCCACTCATCATTCTGCATCAGCGCTTGTACGCGGTCGAAAACGTGCTTGGCGGCTGGTGTATCACCGTTGATAGGTGGACGAGGTGCCTTCAGCAGTGCTAAATGCTTTGCACTCGCCACCGAAGGTTTAGAACCCTCCGCCCCATCGTCATACTCTTCGTAGGCCGGTTCCGGTCCCGCACCATCATCGAGCTCGTCGGCGAGGTTCCTCGAAAGGGACCTGGTCGCCCCGCTCAGCCCTGATGATAGCGTGGCCGTCTCCGGCGTCGCTGCGCCTGGCTCTGGAGCCGGCGTCTTGTCTTCGTAATCTTCATAATCGTGAACGTCAGGAGCGCTGTCCGCTTCGTCGTCGAAGCCCACTGAAAGCTCGGTGGCGGCTGCAAAGCGCGCAGCCGGGCTTGAACTCTCGTTGCGAGCCCCCCAGACTTGGCAGGCGTAACCGGTACCGTCGGTTGTCCTTTCGCCATGTTTCTTGTTTTCGTTTTCTTGTTCTTCTTCTCTTGGTAGCTCGTCAACTGGAAGGCCATACAAACAGTTCACATTGGTCACAATCTGTTCCCGGGTCGCGGCACCAGTTGTGGTGTTGGAATTCCCGCGGGAACTTTAGCTACAAATGTAGCTAGGACGTTCCCACAACAATACATCTACTAGGATAGTAAACGATCGTTCGGGCGGACCTGAAGACCCCAGTTCTGCCCTTGCACCGGGACAAACTGGACCTTGTAAACTACTTATATAGGCCAACCAGTAAAAATAAGAACACGCTACTAGCGCGAGCAAAGCTAGTAGGTGTTTTGAATCCTCGTGGTCCCAACAGCGGAAGGGTACCAGGCACGGGTAAGCCTTTTACGAGGTCACCGAGTGTTCAACACTCGGTTGGAAGAATAAAAGGGAGGCAATCCAAGCACTCCCAGTCGTGCAAATAGGCAACAATAAGCCGTCACGTAAAACCTCCCGATAGTAATCGGCCAATACACAAAGTCTCGTGGCCTTGCCGGATGAACCCTCGCTACAGAGCTTCGAGTTCACCGACAGGCATAACACACTCAAACAAGCTTGACCAGACGCTTACCTTGAAGCCGGACGTCGCTCTGTGTGCTTGAGTGGAAATTATGTTCTGTATTTAAGCTTACCCTTTCGGGTCTATTCCTAATAAGAAGTCCTAATCAAGTATACAAATATCAAGTGAACAATGATCCGTTATGGATCTTCTTGCACGCCAAGCGTCGTCTGCACCGTCGCATGAGTATCTTTAACGGTCCGCGCCCTGTCCCAGACGGTGAACGTGCCTTCCAAGGGTCGCTGAGTCTTCCGCGAACTCATCCCAACCGCCACTGAGGGTTCGTACCGTAGATGGTCCGCTGAATGCGAATCCGGCCAGTCCATTATTAATAAAAAGGACAGCCTGGATTCGGTGACATATGAGCCGTATCCAATATCCGTTGAAAGTTCGGTAGTGACGCCGTCGAGTCCCTTGCACCTTGGCGTCTCCGTACATCACATGACCGAGGGTTCGTCGCTTGAACATCTTGGGCGGTGTCACGTCTTTGTCGACGGGTGATAATCCGCAACTACGGAGAAATCACTACACCACACTGGACCACCGTCCATGCTATCTTGTTCTTCGTGGTTTTGTAGCCGGTCTGGTGTCTATGCGATCGTTAGCTACCGTAATATCGCGCTCCATGGCCTGATGAGCTCCAGCTCTACCCTAGACTCTTGTTCTAATGGTCGGCGATCTTTTGTTCATGATCTCCCTCGGCTTCATGCGTGGATTAATGACCGTGCTCCGTTGCTCTACAGTGGTGGTATGTAATAATTCCTTTTCGCTCACTCGCCGGTGCGAGAAACAAAAAACGTTTTTCTTTGTATTTGCGCGCGTAGTGTGCGACGCTAAGAGCATGTGCGCCCTTTCGAACACGATACGTCGTGTACATCAAACGCACTGGGAGCAGGGTTTGTGATTGAACTCGCGCGGAGGCACGTGATTAAGTAAGAGCACGAAACGCGGAAGTAGACTATGTACACGACGGGATAGAAGGAGCAGCACAAAGCACGGAGGGCCACAGGCGATAAAAGGGGATTGAACCAATACAAGTTACAACTTTTTTGCGAAGCACGAGCCACGTAAGCAAACGCGCAGTCATGTAAAACGCGGGAGGACATGAAATGAAGGAGGTAGATGACGGCTAAAATAATGACATCCCACATGCTGAGACTCACGGATTTCGAAAGAGCACACACGTTTGAAGCCACGGAAGAGTATGTGCGTGGGACCACTTTGTTCATATTTTAAAAATTTCTAGTTCTTTATATTAGTAATAGTATTGTAGATTTTCCAGCGCTAATGTAATATGTGCGTGTACTACTACTACAAATAAGTGCAAACAAAAAAAATGAAGGAACTTTTGAAACGTACTATGGGAAACAATCTTGTTAGTATTTAACAAAAGTACTACGAAGCCAATAGAAATCATATTAAATCCAATAAGTACTAACGTTTCAATTTAAGCCAAAATATTAGTCACCAGGGCATACAAAAATTTCCTACAGCTCGTACGACGATATTATATGTGTGTGCACGTCGGCGCCTCCTATTAATGCTAATTAACGCGTGCATAGGTAGCGCCCTTTGCGTGGCCTTGCGAACCGCAGCTGAAAATGAGAGCAAAATGTAATTTAAACGGTGCTGTTAAGTACGATGTGTAGACCACATACAGTGTGTACACAACATAATATCGATTTTAGCCAATGGGGGCCGCCTTTGCTGCGCACGGCAGCTTTTTAGCGAATCGAGGCCGCCTTCGCTGCGCTCGGCAGCCAGTTACATTAATGCTTGCCGGGGGTTGATATCGTAAATAGTACTATTACTATTAAAAATATCATATGATATTTGGTTTCCATTAGCCCCTGATCACGGAAGCGGATTTTGCAACAACACGAATGTTTTCGCTAACCCAGTGTCAAACACCCCATATCCCGATCATTGATTGGTATGTGAGTCAACACTACCGGTATCTACATGTAAACGTAGCTGTTGTATACCTGTGCTCCGAGAAGCGTCAGCTGCGGCGCGATGAGCAAAGCGGCACTACCAAGCACAACAACGGCCTGGCATGCTCATGCTATATATTGCCATTACTAATAAGCGACTCGACTCATGGGCCGATAGGTTCATGCACATCAAGCGATACAAAGTGGACAGCTTCGACTAACCGTAACGTCGAATGTATCGCCGATCACGTGGCTATTCACATGTTGTCGAAATAAGCATCTCCGATGTGATGATGACTATCTAGTGGAATATAACTGTACTATTTCATATAGAGAAATCGTAAATAACTGGACTGGTTGGTGGAGAGTAACTCCTCCAGAACACCAGACTCTATAATTCATCACTTCTTCTTTTACCAATTCTCCTTCTACACTCAAGACTTCCTCTCCACTATGGCCGCCTAGACCACTCTACTTTTGTCCTCACTCCGTACTGTACTACCCTAACAGCTCTGCGCAAATCATCCCTCCAACACATGTCGCTTTTGAATGGATGCGGTTCAACAACAGAGGCAGAAAAATGTATCTACTATTGATAGTAGAGCCAAATCAAACGCGAAGGCGGCGGCTTCCAAAGGCACATACACGAGGTCACATACACGAAGTCACATACACTTCCTCAGGAAGTGTAGTTCCTGGACTTCTGAGGTACTAGATATTACTGCAGTTTATTATTTTAGCAATAATAGTATTATAAAAATAGTGTTGATGCTCCGTTCGAGCTGGAGTTCATGAGCAACAGCTGGGTGCTTGGGTTGGGTTGTTGCCGGTAAGAGCCGCGCAATGGAAAGAAACGCGGCTTCCTCGGCGGCCCTTGTCCGCCGACGTTCCTTTCGATGTGCTGAGGCGATTTGCTTGAAGGCACTCAAAACGCCGCTTCATTATTCGGTATTACAGGCTTTGACAATAGATTTGTGGCACGAATATCAATCCAATGCGCAATTTATCATATCATAAAGGTGTAACACATCCGACGTGCACTGCTTGTATTTTTTTCATTCTCGTGTCGATGCTAGGAGAGAATCCAGCTTCGGCGCCAACATCGGTGCAGAGCGCTGTGGTTGACAGTAAACTAACGCACAGCAGCTTTGCGTCGCAAGTCACCACCGCGGCGCCAGTACATGCGAAACGCCTCGCGAGCACCGGAGCAACGCGTCCTTTTCTTCCTCGACCTGGTTGCATCTGGGCATGCTGACGCTGGCACCTGGTTAGGGTGGTCATTCCAATACTTTCTTCGGCAAGCAACGAGTATGGCGAGCCAGCAGCCCAGAAGTGAAGCATGCTCAGCCACGGAGATGGACGCTGTGGAAGTGGAGCGGCGGCGCAAGCAGCGCGACCTCAAGCGGAAGTCCCGCGAGCGTAAAAAGGTAAACACGTTCTGGTCATTGTAGTGATATGGACAAACTTTATTGACGCCTATGCTTTGACCGTGGCGACCACAGAGAAATCTTTTAGAGCTGCAAACAACCGCACAAGCGCTTGAACTTGAGTATAAGCATCTTTTCGCCGCGAAGCTCATGAGAGACCAGCAGCAGTTGGACGTGAGCGCGGCAATGAAGCGCGAGCCAAACGCAGCGGACATCGAGCAGTCTCGACTGGTAGAGCTGCAGGAAAAATACAAGGCCGTGCGGCAGGAGATGCACGAGCTGCGAGAACAGATGAGTGGCTTTAAGCAAAAACTCGAAGAGTACGAGCGCTTTATCGCGATGCTAGACGGTCATCTTATGGGGTTCCAAGATACCCAAGAACGGCAAGAAGAGCCGGCCACTTGAGCGACAGTGCGATGGATGCCCAGATAGTCGAAAGGAAGCATAAAGGGCAGGTGACATGTAGTAAATGGACGCCCGAGATTAAAATTGACGAGGGCTGTTGTTGCGCGGAGGAAGCAAGGTACAAGTAAATATCAATCTACCCGCTATTAGCATGGTACTGTATTCCTATGCAGATAAGATGGTAAGTGCTTCGGCTTATTTCGAACCGGTACGATTGATTATCAGAGTTCACTAGGTCGAACTAGATACTTAACTGATTCATGCCTAGCTGCTCGATCAAAAGATATTAGATAAAAGTAATTTCTAAACTAAAAAATTCTAAGCGAGGAGTTTATAAATAGGCTGCTACAGTAGCACAAGTGGTCGTATTTACAGAATAAAATTTGGGATTACCGTTGGCGTTTCTCTTAGTGTTTAGAGTATTTAGCGTGTTTTCCATACCTGGCATGGAATCAAAAGGGTTAACCCTTTCGTGATCAAACGCGGCATTTGACATGCTTTTCAAAAGAGGGTGGGAAAACGACCCTTTAAACGCGGGATTTTGCCTCGTTCTACAAATCCACACCTTGATTTGTTTTAGCCAGTCAGATCTTCGGATTACGGCTTCTGATAGATCCTTTCGGCGAAACTGAGTTGTGAATATCGCGAGAGCGCGTATCTCTTTCGACCAGCATAGCGTCATATTTGCGGTTCGGCTGGTAGCCGCATGACACGCAAGGGAAAAACGTGCTGTAAACAAGGCTAGCAGATCCTAAAAACTATCATGAAAATTTGGTCGAGGCCTCAGCCCCAGAGTCACCAATCGTGCTGGTATCGACTATAGTATTCCTAGCATGCCTTCTCTCTCAGTATGTTTTGCTATGCGGACCAACTTCACCGACGCACAAGACAAACGAATTGTAGCGCGTGCACTCTAGTATGAATCCCAACACAAGCGAGTAGGTGGCTCGGGCTATGAGGAGTAAACATTCTGTCCAAGCGCTTGAGAACCGGCTGCGTGCTCTGAAGCGCACGTATGGACGTGATCTATCAAGATTTCCACCGTGTTTTTTCTCCACGTCGACCCCAACATTCTCTCACAAGCAGCTTCTTCGTCTTCTGGAACCGAGCCAAGCAGAAGGAGCTATCCACGATATCTTCAGCAACGCTTCGGCCGCGGACGCTCGTCAACAAGGTCGAAAGACGGATGAGAACGCAAGTGAGATGCTGCCTGCCGCTATATTACACGTGATTAAAATGATTGGAGCTGTGCATCAAGACAACGTCTGTCTTGACATTGGTGCTGACCTGGGGAATGTTTCGGCGCAGTTTGCGATGCCGACGATTGCACGCCAATGCTTGGGAATCGAGAAACGACCGGAGGTATTTCTTCGAGATGTTCATTGTTTGTGAGCGCATGCACCAAGGCTGCTATTACTCCACAAAGTGTTTTTATGCCAAGGAGACGTTCTTGATACGCCACTTTCGTCGCGTTTACCATTTCAGCATGCATCAATAGTTTTTCTAAACGATTTCCTGTTTGATGAATTAGCAAAGCTGGCCGAACAAGAGCAGCTGTATATGATGTCGAGAGTACTTTTGATCGTTTCTACGTCTCGCTATTGGCCTAGCCATCGCGATTCCTGCCGAAGAAGATTTTGCTACAAGTGGAGGCGCGCGAATACCACGTATGGACGGGGTAGCTGAAAGTCTCCTCCAATCTCGATCTACATGTACACGACTGTCCAGTGACTGGAGATTATAGTGCGTTGATGCTAGGACGGTCATTGAGACAAGTATCACGGGGACATAAGAAAAGTGGCGAAGGCGAGCGAGGACGTGGCTTTCTTCACGCTGTCGGTCAAGTTCAACAAGGCACTTGACAACAAGGGCAATGTCATGTTCCTGTCGTACCTAGCTCAGCACAAGAAGAAGGTGGCCTATGGCAGCTCGTACGTGAAGCTGGTTTCCGCGAACGTGGGCAACGCGTATGCCAAGCTGCCACCCGCGGGTGTGGGCCGCGCGTACACCAAGCGGCCGCCCGCGGACGTATACCCCCAAACACCCGCGGCGAGTCGCCGTAGGTGGTCACGTTCGAGCCGGTCATCTGCGGCAGTACCCAGCGCCTACACTCGCTCATGCTCAGGAAGGTCAGCACGCACGGGCTCAAGACTGACGGCAAGAGCGCCAATGAATGAGTGCTGGTCAAGCAAGGCCCGGCCCTTCCTACCGGAGAAGCAGGTCAAGAACCTCAACCCGTTCGAGGCCAAGGACAGGGTGGATGCCAATCACGTCCCAGGCCCGCAGGACAAGAAGCCCGCAGACGACAACGGCACCCCAAGACAATCTCGGAACTGGTCGATGAGAAGCCCGAGGACTGAGACGATGAGGGCGACGGCGAGGGGGAGCCTACCATGATCGAGAATATCGCGTACAAGAGCGAGTGGAAGCCCAAGCTGCACCATGTTCGACGACAGCCTGGCCACGGACAGCGAGAACAACTTCAAGACCCACGCCACTACAATATCATTGGGGAGCGAAATGCCACATCAGTTGGCATAATAAAGAGTATATAGAACAGAGAACGGCGGCAATAGGTTAATCAAGATATATTCACGTTTACGCAAAATTTTGCCGTGTGACTCTACTCTGTTGGTTCGGTGGGCTCTGCTGAGATTGTTATCTGCTTTCACTTTGTTGCCCTGGTGACCGGTGCTAACACAGAGTCTCTAGAGCAAAGACAACGGCGGCAATATATTAATCAAGATATATACTCGAAAATTTGTCGTGCAACTCTAGTCTGTTGGACCGTTGGGCTATGCTGAGGTTGCTGTCTGCTTTCACTTCGTTGCCCTGGTGAACGGTGCTCATCTAATAGGCTGCGTTGACACGCTAGATCGTCTCCGACTGGTTGGTTAACGCATTTGCATTGTACCTTGAACTTGGCCAACGTTGAGGACGTACGCAGAATCCCTTTTTCGTTGAAAATGCCACTTTGAAGATAGAAGCGGTGAAACTTGTCCCAGCAGGTCCAAGTGCTCTGTGGGCAGGTGATTGGAGTTTCAGCGTCACCGTGCACAAAGGCACGCGGGGTGAGTTAGACAATAATCGGTTACCTCAGTCACGTATCTTCCTTCATAGCGACAGACAACGCACTCGCGCTTCCCCCTGCTCTATTCTTGTACATTTGCTTTGACGATATCGCCTCACACCGCGCCGACTGAGGCGGTGTCGGGACCATCGATAAGCCTGTGCTTGGAGGAGTAGCACTGGGGGTGGCTGCGACATTTGTGGCAACGCTGCTGCCGAGCGGCATTCGTTTGTCACTGGGCGCTTCTCGCCATCGACCCGAAATGAGCTCTGATACTAAATCCGTCGCAAACGTCCTGTGGGGGTCCCGATCTCTTGACGTATCGATTGCCATCCGTCGAGTCAAGTACGCGTTGGAACGTGCGATATTCACGAGTGCTAAGGCCATTTTTTTGTGCCAACGTTTGTAGGAATGACCATCAGCGATTGAGAATCTAGCACGTATCTGGTCCAAACGATCAACACCTCGCATGTGTTGATTGGATTTTAAAATACAGGTGGGGGCAAGAAATGCACAACTTGAAGCTCCAATATGTCGTGTCACCATAGTGGTAGTAGATGGATCAGCATTGGTGACCATGGTGACAATGTTGCCGTCGCACCATGACGCCGCCAGCATGTTATGTTCGACAACCACTGACCGCTGATAATCACCCCGAAAGCACTCCGCTTTCTGCAGAACGGTGTGCATAGGATAATATTTGCTTCTGCCCCGCACTGTGCCTCGCCTGTACAGTACAATCCCTTCAGCTCTAAATCCAGCAGGAGTTGGACGCTTGTGTAGTAGTTATCCATGTTGATAATCCGTCGAAAAAAAACGTATGGTCGCACCACTTCACGCACATGTTTGCGTACTTGTTGGACACCCTGTAGCTCCTCACGGAGCTGTTACATCTCCTCTTGGCTCACCACGTTCTGCAAACGATCGCCAAAATCGCAATTGCTGCAATGCAGACGGTAATTTAAAGCAATTCATGTGGTCGAGCATCAAACTACTTACATTCGAAAGTGATACTTTTAACCAGGCTTCTGTGGATTGAACACAATGAGGTGACGGCCGTGGCGTGACTGGCAAGCAATGCTGACTTCATTCAATGCAAGATCACGGCCTACTTCGACGTAGCGGCCTCCGGTACACTGTACACTTAAGCAAATTTAGCAAGGGTTGAATACGGGCGGCTGAATCTCTATCCACGGGTGACCCCGGTCCAGCGCGAAAGCTAAAACACCGACCAAACAACTTGAACCGACGTAAACTCATCACGTTGTCCAAACTTGTAGATGCTCCACCAAAAAACGCGTCTTCCGTCTCGGCCCCCCAATAGTTAGAGTATTCACCTTTGTCCGTGAGCGTCATGTAGAACATGATGCCCAAAAAGACCATGAGCTCGTCCATAGTGATGGGTGTGGTAATCAGAATCTCCTTGACAGCGGCATACCAGTTTGACTTCAGGACTATTTGTTTTCAAAAGTAGACGGGAAAGTAGGCAAAGAAGCTTGAACTAGCGGAATCGGCAAACAGATGATCATAAGCTGGCAAAAATCGCGTCTCAGTAGTACTACCATCTGGGTGCTCGTACAGATCAGCCGGGGCTTCTATATCCGTGTCGGGCTCGAAACGCATATTCTTTACTGCTTCCACCTCTGCAAGACTCACTGGCAAAATCTGCTCGGGATCATACGTCTCGTACTCTCCTTCGGCCGACGCCACTTCAAGTTCATCAAGTGGTGCGTCCAAATTCAACTCCTCTTCAGCCCCCTTGTCGGTCAAATCTTGCCATGCCGGATGATTAGGTACTAGAGCTTGATGGTTCTCGATACCCCGTTGCACAGCCGCCACAGTGACGGCTTCCACCGCGTTTTGAAACTGACTATCAAGCCACATCAATTGAAGAATAGCTCCATTTTTTGGTTTCTTGATACGACGACATACTCGACCAACAATGTGGGTCGTTCCTACACATATGTATACCTTATCTGTCATCCACTGCTCTTTCGGCGACAAAAACGCCACCAAGTTCTTGAAATAAAGCTTTTCAATCGTTGGTGTACCTAGGGTACGACTGCGAGAAGTGCTGGTTCTTGAGGTGCTGGTGCCTGCTTTCGGAGTCGCAACACTTCGATTGGTGCGGCCGAGATCCGGCCGACTTGATTCATCAACTACAAGGGTTAGGCGGGCAAGACGTGCTGAGGCTCGTCGCCGTCTGCCCACGTCCATCATTATCTTCTGTGACTGCAACGCCACCATTTCCTTCACCACAGCTTGCTTCCACACCCACACCACACGTTTCCACGCCACAATCATCGTGATCTACAGCTCGGTGGTGGCCAACACCAGCTCCAGGAGCAAATAGTTCAGCGACAGAGTACTGCATGGTAGTAACGGCTTGGTTGAGGTCACGAGAAGCTCCGGCCTGTACACCTTCAGCACCACCGCCATCGTCATTCACACCAACGCCACCATCTTGTATGGCTACTTACTCTTCGCTGCCGTACAACCCCCGGAGCGCACGAAGACTACCTCTAGTTTGGTGTTCCTTCTGGCTGCTTATTGTGGACTTACCACGGTCACAAAAAGCACCATCGTCACGACGGTCGTGGTCTCTTGGAGCTACAGATAACGTATTTTGAGCGCACATCAACACAGCGTACTCTGCAAAGCTACTAGTCATACTCATACCACGAGTGAAGGATGCACCACCAATGTTTTTGTGCTCCGAACGTGCGACTAAGTCCTGCGCGTTGTCAGCTACAGGCTACTCCAGCTCCATCTCTGCACCATTCGTCGTGGTCGGCATTGACTGCAGTCACTTGAGCAGTGTGAGAAGCATGGTCATCGGAGTCCCATCTGCAACTGGCTATCACTGGCTCCGAGAGCGGTCTGCTCGACGCTTCGACCAGAACGATGAATATTGAGAGCACGATAAATACTCGGTTCGCGGAACTCGTACAAATCACTAATCGGATAGTAATGGTGCGGAAACGCGTGGGATGGGGATTCAACGTTTGGAACTTGCAATTTTTGACCGCTCTGATTGGCCGACCTCCGTCAATCGGCGGAGCGCTTTTATTCTGAAGAATCAGCGACGCGGCTGCTGTGTCTCGACTCGTCCGCAAAATTCGGCAAAATGCCACGTTCTTTAAGCAATATATCGTGTTTTGAAACAGTCTTTTTCTTAACGTAGTGCGCATCCCCACCTCAAAACGCGGCAAAATGCCACGTTTTACCAACGTATGGCATAGTCACCAAGATTTGGGATCACGAAAGGGTTAAAGGTGTGGACTATCCGTATCGACCTTCCCGTCTCTGTCGCTTTGCATTTCGATGAGGGCAAAGCCCAACCTGGTGCACAAGCTTCTAGAGTACAAGCTCGAGAAGCTGTAGGAATTCGTGGCGAGCTACCACGTTGACAAACTAGCCCAGTTGAAGCTTTGCTAAGACAACACAATTCATTTGGCTTTTCTTTTGTCTACTGAATGACAAAGTATACTTTTTGGACACACCAGCAGCCGCGGCGACAAGGAGGGACAGGGCGACCGCTGCAAAACGCGTCGACCTGCACGGCGTGAAGCCTAGGATTATGAAAATGACAAAAGATGCAGATGGCGATGTTGACATGACAGTGCCCCGCTCCCCCCCATTGACGCGTGTATACAGCTGTTCACAGCAATCACGTAGAGCCGCAGCGCTCGTCACGTTGGACACCTCGTCCGACGTCGAAGACGTCACAGACGCTCTGCGTCTTCTCCTCCTCCCCCTCCGCGACCGAGCCCGGCTGGATGAGGGAAGTGTGGCGACATCTCCATCACCACCACCGGGTGCAGCAGCACCATTCCCCTCGAAGAGGAGACATTGTCTCGCAAGACACTCGGGTGAGAGCCAAGAGGTCCTTGGCCCTCACACAGTGAACTAGGTGTCAATTCACCTACATCGCCTGGGCCGGGCTCACGTTGGCTCGACTCGCAGTCGACTGCGGCCTTAATGCCACGCAGCGGTATGTCCTCGACAGATCCGTACCTCTCAGTGAATTACGCGCCACTCCGCATTCATCCTCACCAGGACTCAACATTTAGTCATTGACCTGACCTGCACCGCTCAGCGGGTAACGTACGGCACCACGTACGCCCTCACAGCAAACAGCAACCGCGTCGCAAACAAGCACTGACATACCAATGTCCAGCACTGCGACCGCCTGGGCCTCGTGCTCGCGCCAAAAGCGCTTATTCTTCCTAGCAGACGTGGGATCATGACTCAATAAAGCTCCAGTAGGAGCTGGGTGCGTAGTACCCAGTGTTTTCAGCTTCCAGTCGATTCATGGCGCTCCAGC